GGTCGGAAGACTGGCCGGTGGTTCAGGCTTGTCATTCTCAGCGCTCGGTTTTCGGGCGCCAATCGAGAGCGTGTTGGGTCCCCGGCCTCGGGGCGTCCCGGCCGAGGGCGCGCTGCTGGTGGGGGAGCGTGGCGGTGCAGAGTTCACGTTTTTCAGTCCTCTTACTCGCTTTGGCAAGGGAACTTGCTAGGTGTGGAAAGAGATGATTCAGGGCAGCGCTACAACGGGAGTGAAATACAGTCGTTCTGTGTAACTTTTTAGATGAAACCATACTTGATGACTATATCGTGGTATATGAGCAAGTCAGATAACTTGGGGTAGGGTTCAATTTTCTAATTAAAACTAGTCATCATGGTCTTTTTACCTGTGGGCACTATTTTTTTCTATAGTAGTGGTTATTTTCTGTTATCCTTTCACAGCAGATTAGAACGCGGAGCTGTAGCTGAGAAAATAAGTCGTTAATCTGTTTAAAATTCCGTTGACACAGACCAATGAAATAAGCTAGACGAGCGATTGCTATGTAGAGACAACCTAGGTGGCAAGCAGCATTTGGGGGAAGAGCAAAGGTCTAGCCTATGTGCTTTTGTTCTTGCACACAAAACAAACCTGCTGTGTCCGTGCGATGTGTAAACTCTTTACAGGCTAGGTTGAGTCTGATATTAAAAGACTATGGGTAGAAACGTGTTCTGACTCAGTGTTAAGTAGCCCAGAGACTGAAAATATTTCTGTCTGGTTTCAACAGGAAGGAGGAAAGAGAAGTAGAAGCAGAGAAGATAATTGATCAAGAGAAAAGTGAACCCAGCCTGATCTGTCCCCCGCCACGCAGCAGAAACTATCTTCCTCCAGAGGATATACAGAGCTGCCTTGAGTTTCATGTCAAGGAGATTTTTGGACCTTCACTTCCTGATAATTGGCAGCAGACACCCCTCACAGAAAACAAGTTAAAGTACCGTCTCCTGGCTCAGCTGGCAGCAGAACTTGATCATGCTGTCCCCAATTCACAGCTCCACCTGATGCGCAGTGCTGAGGATGTCTTGAATTTCTATAGCACTCCTGTGAAGGATATGTCCAAGTTTGATGAACTATGTGCTGCAGAGCTACCCCCAAACCTGAAGATTACCTGGGAGCAGTGAGTTGCACTACGAAGCGTTGCTTTGCTTTGCTTGTGTTCTTAAGGGAGGACTGCAGAGTAGAAGCAGAGCCCTTTCATTGTGATATTGACCAAAAATATAGATATCTCTAATAAAAGGTCATTTAATTGTCTTCAGGTTTCATTGTTTCTGTATATTATATACGAGGAAAGAGCAGAAGTCCTCCCTGTGAAACAGTGGGGCAGCGTGGTCAGTAATGGTACTAGTGTATGCTTTCTGGTCTTTACCATGCTGCCCAGCAGTTACAGGGTCCAGTGAGGATAAACAGAGGGGAGCAACTCCGCTGTTTCTTCCCTGCACCTTATAAACTGCTTGTCTTGGGTTCTGAACTGTGTGACGGCCTTTTGCCAGTGCAGTTTGGTTATGTCAGGCACCGCGTTCACCTTGGCTGCCAAGCTCTTGGGGAAGGATGGGGGAGGTAAGCCAGCATCTTTTTTTCCTTTTTTTCTTTTTTTTTTCCCCCTCCTCCTTCAGATTGAAAAGAAGACCCTGTCAGCAATAGTGTTTCTAAAAGCCATCCTAGGTGCCATCTTAAATAAAGTGGAATTCTGAAATCTCTTAGCTCGGTAACGATGGACTCTCCAACAGCCCTATAAAAACAGCTGCTGTCAAAGCAGCTTGTAGAATTCTTCTGTGTCTCTCAAAGTACCCCATTTTCACATTTGTAAGTTCTGTCACTCCTCGTAATAGCTATTGGTCAGTTTTTCTTGTATGTTAGCTAAATGTTAGTTTTTCCGTAGCTACAGAAATGTAATAGCTGTATGTTAGTTTTTCTCCCCATGTAACGGATGAGGTGGGTTTGCTTTTAACCAGAGGAGGCAAGCGGTGAAGTCAGGAGGACAAGAAAATACACGTAACGGTCTGAGAAATGCCTGGTACTTTAAGTGTTTTCTACAGAACAGGTTTACAGTGAGGTTAGATTCTGTATGTGTGATATTTCTGGGAATGATCCAGAAATACCCTGGTTATACCACTCGCTCTCCTGAACCCTAGCTCCCTTGGTTTCTTTTAGCGTACAAATGCCTGAAGCACGCTTAGGAACCGCTGCTTTTGTGTGTTACAGTGCTCAGTTTCTTCATTCAGCGAACTTCTCAAGCGCTGCTTTCTTCTCATAGCTCTGAAGGAATTTAAGAAACATGTTCTTTTCTCCTTTTGAGTCCTGAGGAATTACAGAATAGCGTTAAGTGTGCTACTGCGTGTTCCGTTGCGGGGTGAACGTGAGGGAACTGGGGATGTTTCACTGGTCCCTGTAGCTTATGGAAACATCGTGTGATAAATACATAAATCGGTGTCCTCTTCAGAGGCTTTTTGGGAACAATGAACTGGAAGTACTTTTTTCATAAAATTATGTCTTCTTTCCATCAGAGAGATACTGAGGCCTCCTTATTTCCTCTACTCAATACTTGTTATCTAAAAAACCACTTTCAGTGGTAGTTGCACTTTCTGCTCACCCCACCATCCTGTGTCTCTCCCAGTATGTAACTTCATTAGCTCATGTAATGTGATCAGAAGAGAGAGTGAAAAACGGAACACTGAAAAATAGGATAGGCAAGAAAGGAGCATGACAACCACCTCATCTCGTGTTTTGCTGTTCCTGAGCTGTGTCAAATTGAGACTTCCCTAATCTTGGATACTTTAGTCCCTCTGGGTGTAAACCTCATTCTTCTATCAGCACACCTGTGCAAGGAGTTGCAGGGGCTAATGTACAAGGGAAGAAGATCAGACATGGGTGTTTGAGATGCAGAACTTTTAACTGCTTGTAACAAGCTGAAAAAGCAGAAGTCTGAAATGAGATGAAAGTCTTGCATCGAACATCTGTGCCATAAGAAGGGCTAAGACTTCTGGGTTCTTAAACACTTTTTTTTTTTTTAATCCTTGGGCTTCCAGAAGTGCCTAACTTCTATTGAATGCAGTTACAAATAAATAAAAGCCTTGCCAATGGATGCGCAGGAGGGCTGATCTGCGTTTGCTTTCAGCAGAACCAGCAGAGCAGATCAAAAGGAAGTGTAAAGAAGCCAGGTTAGGAGGGCATTTCTTAACAGAAAGACTGGATGCCAGCCTGGGTGGGCTGATGTCTCTATGAATGAGAGAAAGCTGCGGTGCACTACAAAGAGGCTCCTGCAGAGTGTACAACCGGCTGAGGGAGGCTGTTCTACACCACCACACCTGCCAGCCTGTGGGAACATCAGCAAAGTCTGCCCGTTGAAATGTGGAGGAGGATGAACATTTAATTTGTAATGCTGACCTCTGGTTTTGAGAGGCATGCCAATTTTACCCCTATACAGGTGCTCAACTAAGATGGGGGAAGTGGTTTTCCCAATGCCAAGAGTGATGTTCCAGAGCCTTCACACAGCTAAGGGTCACAGCCCACACACGGAGAGGAGCAAGAACAACAGTGTTGCAGGGGTACCCTCTTCCCTGCCAGGTGGGAATTAGCCAGGGGCCAGAGGGAGGCCACAGCCATCCCGCTGGGTGACCCCCCAAGTAAGGGAGGTCAACATTACATAGGCCAGGTTCACACCTGAAGTGCACAAACCTGCACACAGCTCAAGGGCCATGCACCTGTCTTAAGAGATGATCCAACTGCAACATGTTTGTTCTACACAGTTGTTCATAACGCTGGACTACAGACGCCAGTGCTAGCTGCCTGAGCTCACTGTATGCAGCACATAGAGAATGATGTGCCTCAGAACAGGAGCTTAAAAAAACAATCCAAATGCTACCTAGAGACTGATTTTTCACTGGGTCTCAGATTCCAGATAGACACACATTGCTGCTGAAGGGAAAGATACGTGGGAAAAGCAAGTGTGCTGTTAGGTTTAGACTTCCTGTGCAGGGGCTTATCTGTCAACTGGAAAAGCCTGAGGATACTACAAATCTAAAATGACAGCAAACGTACAGAGCTAGCCAAGAGGAAATGCAGTGAACGTGTGTGATAGGTCTAGCTTCATCTAACCAGTCATCCAGAACTTAAGCATTTGCAAACAAGCATGCATATCCCTGTGGATCTGCATCTACCTGCAGACCTCTCCTTGGGTGTAGGCATCCTTACGTATCATGTCAGAGAAGAGAGCAGGGCGCGCCTGCTTATTTCAAAGTGGGCAGAGGTGCCTCTCACCATAATGCACTATAACTGGAAGGATAAAGCAATCCTTCAGAAAGTGGAAAATTGAGATTCAAATCCATCTTCAAACTGGAAGATGGGGAAGAAGCTCAAACCCAAATCTTCCACCTTCAGAAAGACTGCCTGCGCCATCACACTAGAGGACAAACGGAGACAACATCCTTAGCAATTCTGTGGAAGCTATTGATCAAGAACGCAAGATTCATGCTGTGGTAACAGCACGATTGGGAGGAACACAACCCCAGGGACCACAGCTGCAAAAACTAGGCTAGAGAATATCAAGTTTTTCTCTTAGAATTCAACCCCCTCTTTGCAGTACGAGTGGACTTAAGTGCTGCTGACTGGGTGTATTGATTGGAGTACTCATTGCCGATAAGCTTTCCTAACATGTCACTATTCTCCTAACACAGCAGAACAAGGACTAGTTCCACAGCCAAATGTATTCAGCAGAAGTCTTCCCTGTGGAATTTGGTGTCTGAGTTGTAGTGAAGGACCCAGGACACTTATCAATAGTTCCTCAAGGTCACAGAAAAGCCTGCATGGCCCAAGTCTGATCCTTGTATTCCTAATACTGAAGCAGACATCAGTAGAGTCAGAAGAAAATACGAACCTGGAAAAAACACTACAAGACCAGACACAAACAGACATCCCAGATTTTCTTTGTGTCACGAGCAAATGACAGAGACCAGGCTACACATTTTGTTTTTTTTGATTAATTTTTTTTGCATCTGTTTTGGAAAAAATATACAAAAAAAGCCAAGAAGAACCAACATGGAAATGTGAGGTAAACATTCCAGTGAAAGTACAGACAGAGGCTCCATTCTTTAAAGGAGACACACAGCAGTTATCACCATGCTAGAAGAATGAGATGCAGGAAAATCCTAGAAACAGTGAAGTCATGTAATGAAGCCTTTGCCCCAGTTCTAGCTATTGTAAATGAGCTCTTTTTTGTTCTTCTCCCCACCCCCCACCCCCACTTACTTGTCTTTTTATTCCTTAAACAAAGTTGTTAAACTGTAAAATAGCAGCTTTGATATAAATTCTGTTTGGCAGAATTTACAAAAATGCCGACTGCTACCATAGACTAATTTTTTTTTTTTTTTTTTTTTTTTTGACTTGCCAAAACCCCTCAGTGAAAACTACACTATTGGGGCAAAGTTGGCTTCTTGGTTATGCCAATAGGAATGCCAACTTACGCCACTCCACTAAAGGAGTGGTTTCACTTTTCCTTTGCACTAGTGTTACTAGTTACCCCACTCTATGATGAAATTATGAAACACTTAATGCGCAGCCTCAGCTCCACAGTGGTGGCTGTATATCCCCATAGTCAATTCCTGAAGCCAGGTTTCACTGGGAGCTTTAGCTGGGCCTCAGGGAGGAACGGAGATCTAGGGAGATGATATAGTCAGCTCACATGCTATCAGCTACTACTATAAATTTTCATGTCCAGTCTGTCTATATTGCAGACCGAGCATGTCGTTTTAGTTATTCTTCGATAACTAGCACAGTCACCCACACCAGAACAATCAGGCTTTGATTCAGTAAGATGCTTTAGGACACACTTCAAGTTCGCCAAGCAGTCTGGAAACTGGACGGCTAACTGAAGTCCATAATGCTAAAGAACGCTTAAGTAGCTCACTGAATCAAGGATGGATGTTTATTACTTGTTGATAGTATCGTTCAGGTTAGATTCCTGATCACCATTATTTTAATCAGAATTAAATATATGCAATTACTTCAGATCTATGCTGAGCTTACTCAGATCAGAATCTGACCCACTGGTAGAAGCACTTCTTCTTATGGTAAGAAAAGGTAAAAGTGAGTATTTTTTTTCAAGATATATAAATTCAAAAATTAA